ATTTCAACTGTTTCCTGCTTCGCCCCTCACTCAACTCACCGCGATGTTAGCAGCGTCACCCTCGTATTTGCTGGCGAGCGCAGGTATAGCTGTATATCGCCGCGTCGCTGGGAGGTTAGGGTGATCTTGGCCTGGACGTGCTCCAGATAATTGACCGAGAGGCAGTGGTTGACGGCCAGTTGCAATGTGATGTGCTTGCGTGGCGGAATGGCTCTGCAAGAGTGGGGAAAACGAAATTTGATGAAATTTGATGCGAATATATTCAAGGGTTCGTTCGGTGACTCACTTGTCCACGTGTGGAGCATTGATTTCGCAGCGCTGCTGCTCGGGCACCGTTTTCCAGGTGCGCGCGACGCGTACCATATCGGACGCATCCATGAGGCCATAGCCAAAGGAGTGGCTCACACGTCGGCCAACACCGTTGATCGACCAGCTGGAATCCTTGAGATTCGCTGGCTTTGCGGTGCGCACCACAATGTGCTGCAGGTCGCGCCAGGTCAGATTCTGATTCGACTGCAGCACCAGGGCTGCAATGCCCGCGGCGAGCGGTGCCGAGGCCGAGGTGCCCGTATGCGATGCGGTACATGAATGATGCAAATCTGTGGTGACCACCTGCTTCTCGCTCTGCCCGCCGCTGCTGTAGGTGGTGGCCAGCGTGGAGCTGCATTTCTCCGAATACCATGGCACGTTGCCCTCCTCGGTGGCGCTCGATATGGACAGCGTCCATATGGAGTTCGTATAGCCATCGCAATTGCAATTGTCCATCTCCCTGCCTCCATTGCCAGATGCCCAAATGAAGATGCTTCCCTTGCCGCCACGCCCCTTCGTCGTGCCCTCGATGAAGGCGCGTGAGGCCAGCTCGCCGGGCCCATCCACCGTCTTGCCATCGTCGTCCGGCCCCCACGAGGCGCTGTAGATGTCAATGTGCTGCGGATTGAGCGATAGCGAACGCGCCTCCACAGCATCAGTCACATCACCGTCCAGCATACGCACACCGCCCACACTTGCCCCATAGGCAATGCCCACCGCGCAGAACGAGTTGTTCGCTGTGGCAGCCACCTCGCCGGCGCATCGAGTGCCGTGGCGATTCGAGTCGGTCATGTCGTAATGCGGCATCGGGTCATCATCGTGGCTATTCACATCGTACGAGGCCTTGGGATCCTGTCGAAGGGACAAACACACAATGTTAGAGAAACCCTTGCCCCCTGATATATGCATGCTGTTGTCTATATTACGTAGTTCTGCTCAATGTCCGGATGATTGGACTCCAGTCCATCGTCGAGTATGGTCACCACGACGCCCTTGCCAGTTATGCCCTCCTTCCAGGCGGGTATCACATTCATGTCCAGACCATTGCCTCGATTCTGTGGAATATAGATGCCTTAGCTTCAGCTCTAGGCCCAACAAGTTCACCCACTTACCAGATACCACATCTGCGGCCACTTCGGGTCATCGAAGGACACTGCATCCACCAGCGACATGGCCCGGGACGAGGTTCGCGATGGCCGCATTCGTATGAAATCGCGCTTTGAACGCGACTTGGCCCGTTGCTGTTTGGCCCAATGCACGCGCTCGTCCAAGTCGAGGCGGGTCTGATGGTGTGAGGCGGGCGTCAGGGAGCGCTTCGACACCTTGTGATGCGCGAAATGGTAGTGATCATCGAAGATCTGTGGAATGAAACGTAAATCGAAAACAATTAGATTGGATATGAAGAAACGGATTACAAAACTAAGAAATATCAGGGAAATTAGGGAATTGAATTCGATTTGAGTTCTTCACCCGGAGGTTATATAATATTCATATAAGATTTCTAATAAATTCTAAAGCAAATCAGACAGAGTTTAATATATATTGCATCTTTAAAGCTCATCTAGATTGTAAGCTCAAATTTGCAAGCAACAAATTAGATATCGCCTAACTTCTCCGTTAGTTTAACAAAAATCGATTCTCGATTTCGATTTATTTATCAAAGTATTATTATCGAAGTAGTCTTTGCAAAGCTTGTCAATTGCAAAGACTTGTAGACCCTAAACATCATATCTTGTAATTATTAGAATTTTAAAAAATATTCAGGAACTATTTCTTGCCACATTCGACTTGAAAATGGCGCCGCGAATGGATAAAATCCGTGAGATTGCGGAAAAGCTATTCACGCCCTCGGAGATAAAGCGTTTCAATGCCTTTCGAAACACATTTTCAGAGAAGTACCTATCGCCGAGTGCGTACAACTTCAAGTGGAACTTCAACCGACCCATTTGGTCAGTGAAAATGCCCCAGTGGATGAATTCGCGTTTCTTTACGTCTTCGCGTAAGTGCGATGTGCTCAGTTCCTGGGAATTCCTTTAACCAGAGCTTGCTTCCATTCACAGAGTCTAGCGAGGAGTGCTGTCGTGAGCAGCCGCCGTGTGATTACGACTGGGATGCTTACCATCCACGGGGTCCGCCGTATGAGCCGCGCCACTCTCACTCTTGGCATCCGGATCCGGAGTTTTTGAAGGAGTCTGAGAATATAGTCTTTTATCCAGTGGGTGATGAGTGGAAGAAACCACCGAATCCGAAGGGAAAGGTCGTTCCGCCCATGGATCGTACATTTCGCTCTAAGTTCGTCAACTTTGGACCTGCTCATCCGGCGGCCCATGGCGTGCTCCGCATGATGCTGGAGCTGGACAATGAGACGGTCTTGTCGGCCGATCCCCACATTGGCTTACTTCATCGCGGCACCGAGAAACTGATCGAGCACAAGACATATACCCAGGCCGTTCCCTATTTCGCTCGCACCGACTACGTGTCCTGCATGTCCTGCGAGCAGGCCTACGCCCTGGCCGTGGAGAAGCTGCTGAACATCGAGGTCCCGCCCCGGGCCAAGTACATACGCACCTTGTGCGGGGAGCTGATGCGCCTCACCAACCACACCATGGCCATTGGCACCTCTGTGCTGGACTGTGGCGCCATCACGCCCCTCTTCTGGCTGTTCGAGGAGCGCGAGAAGCTTTACGAGTTCTCCGAGCGTCTGTCCGGGGCTCGTCTGCACGCGGCCTATATACGGCCGGGTGGTGTGGCCATGGATATGCCTCTGGGGTACGGCAAGGATCTGCATGAATTCCTCAAGGCCTTCACCCAACGGCTCGATGAGGTCGAGGATGTTGTCACCGATAATCGAATTTGGCGCATGCGCAACATTGACATCGGCCGAATCTCGGCGCACGAGGCACTCAACTATGGCTGCACGGGACCCGTGCTGCGCGCCACTGGGGTCAAGTGGGACCTGCGCAAGCAGCAGCCCTACGATGCCTATGCCGCAATGAAATTCAATGTGCCCATCGGGTCGCAGGGCGACTGCTACGATCGCTATCTGGTGCGCATGCGTGAGATGCGCGAGTCGTGCAGCATCATGCTGCAGTGCCTGGACCAGATGCCCCCGGGCAACATCAAGGTCGACGATCGCAAGGTAGCGCCGCCCCAGCGCAGCAAGATGAAGACGGGCATGGAGGATCTGATACATCATTTCAAGTTCTTCTCGCAGGGCTACAACGTGCCGCCCGGCGCGACGTACACGGCCATTGAGTCGCCCAAGGGCGAGTTTGGCGTTTATCTCGTCTCCGACGGCAGCTCTCGGCCCTATCGCTGCAAGATTCGGGCTGCCTCCTACACGCATCTGGCGCTGCTCAGCAAGCTGTCACCAACGTATCTCTTGGCCGACGTTGTGGCCATTATTGGCTCACTGGACATTGTCTTTGGTGAGATCGATCGCTAATTGTGCCTCTGAGAAATTATTGAATAAAGATCTACGTAACTTTGAAAGCAACCAGCGGGATCTGGTATATGTTTCGAAATCATAGAGAGTTGACTTAAGCTTTAAGTTCGTGACCAAACTTGTATACCTAAGACTATCAAACTGTTACACTTCTTTGCCCATAAGATTTTCTATTATGTTCTCAAACTTAGTTTTGATTATGAAATAGAAACCACACTTAATTTCTAACAATTAAAAATCACAGCTGTGCACAACTATTTAATGTAAGCCAGTGACTTTTAAACTGCAGCAGACTTTTTCCTTTAAATTATTTGATTGCCAAAATCTAAACCTGTGATTGTTGAACTTTTTCAGTCTCTCAGCTTTGTCACCATCATTGCGTGTGACTGTCGAACTTTGTCAACGTGTGACTGTCAAACTTAGTTTGCGTGTTTTTAGAGACTCGCCCGCTGCACATGGAAATGCCCGTTGCTGTTAAATTTGATGCGTGTTTGTGTCACAGCTCCAAACTGTAGCTGACATTTAATTACGAACTCTTCAACGGTAACGCAGGCAACAACAAGTGCTGCGGCGTCAAAGCAAACACCATCAACTAAATTGAAATGTGAGTAACGGAAAGACAAACAGCCACATCATATAATTACAGTCCATTAGAGGGAGAATTCGTTGACAGAAATAAAGAAAATGTTGGCAAACAGTTTTAAATAACTACTCATACACACAAACACACACACAAACACACACACAGACACACACGCACACACACAATAGATTTTAATTATATATTTTGTTTTATTCGTGTAAAATTCAGATTTACTCCGGCATGCCTTTAGCTCTCGGTGACTCTTAAACTGTGTGCTGCAAGTGGCCAGGGTTGCCAGATGGGCCAACTTCGTCTCTGGAATTCCTTCATAATTGCATTTCATTGTATGAAATTCCTCAGTAAATTACAATTGAAATGCATGCCAACGATTTTGCAATTACATTTAGTTATGCTTCAGGAATGCCTTGCCGCACGGGACATTCACTTTACTTTGCCAACTGGAATTATGTGGAAGGAATTTTTGTTTGTTTGCCGGGCAAACCAGAAGCAAATATACTATATACATATAAAATATATATGTAGCAGCTATTAAATTGAGTTGAAGGCAGTGAAAATAAATACAATAAAAGTGATAATTAAGTGAAGAAACTGAGAGGCTGAAAAGAAAAACAAACAAAAAACAAAAAAGCAAAATACCAGTGTTTAGTAACGAATGTGTGTGCAAGGCAAATTCTGTATTTATACATTGGCAAGCATTTGTATAACATACATCCACAAGACAAGAAACAATAGATGTAAACTCTTAAATTTCATGGGTTGCAGTTCTATTACACTGACAAACAGCTGGCAACCCTGCCAACTGCGAGCTGTGTTGACAGCACGGAAGAGTAAATTGTGTGCACATGAGTGTGCGTGTGTGTCCGTAACATACGCTCTTCAGTATTGCCAAAAACTTCTACATGCATAAAGCATTAGAGGACGAGACTGAAATAGATAGAGAGAGAGAGCGCGATGGAAACTGTAAGTGAGAGCACTACACACATACACGCACACACACATACACACATGCATCATTAAGCGCTTTACAAATATTGTCATTGACCGAAAGTCCGGCCAGGTGCAGCAACGCGCTGCAAGAACAACAAGCGATTGCAGTGGCGCATAAAAGTATGCAACACAATTTATTTATACCCACGGCAGGATGTCGCCTTTCGATTTGCATTTGCGGCAGCAGCTGCTGGACCTGAACATATGTGCGTATGAGTGCGTGTGTGTGTGCGTGTGGGTGTGTGTGTGCTTAATTGTCGGCGTATGTTTTGAGAGAGCTTGACAAACGGACGCTCGTGTCGCCTATTGCAGGCCTAGAAACAAAATGTCCAGCCCACAGCCTCTGTGTCCCCGCCATATGGCAGCCCGCTGTCCGTTCCCCTCGCATCCTGCGGAGCACTAAAATTTTAATTGCAGCCACTCTCTGGCCGTACGTGCTGTCCCGCACTGCCGGCTCGTTTGGAATTTTATGCTAGTTGCTCCCACCTCTAAGCCCATATTCCCACTATCTCTCTCCCTCTCTCTTCCGACTGTCGGGTCTATCAAGTTTATTAATTTATGCAGCCCAGCAGCAACTGCTGTGGGAGGAGGACTTACCGGGAGTGTCAGAGGAAACGGCATCCGGTCCGGAACGGATCTACATACTAGTCAGTTAAAGATACTCCTCGAACTGCCCGCATACATATGCAATTTTTATACAACATTTTAATTGAGTTTGGTGTCAAAGTTAAGTTTATAGCTCAGTCCTGAAAACAGTTGGAGCGTGCCCCATTTTTAGGGTCCTCTGGCTCTGGACGAGCTTAGTTTTAATTGTTTTGTTGCGGTTTCAATTAAAATTGACTTATAGCTTCAATCTGCTTCTGAGCTTCTCTCTTTCCCTATGCTCTTCCACATCAATGTTTCTGTCTCTCTCTCTCTCTCTCTCTCTCTCTCTATCTCTATCACTGTTGCCATCAAATTTAAGTGCTAATGCGGCGCACGTTGATGGATTAATGGATATTCTGTGTGCTGTTTATGTGCATGTGTGTGTGTGTTTGTGTGGGAGTATACACATAAGCATTAACTTTTACAGGCCATTTGCTGCGTAGGCTCGTAAATATAAATACAAGACTCGACTAGTGAGAGCCTTAACAAAACAAACGTATTTTCTAATATCTAAGTTTAGCTGAGCTGCAAGCTCATTGAATAAGAGACGCATAAAATTTAATGGCTGTTCCTTGATTAAGCCCACTTGACCAAACTTTAATTACTTGTGGATTATATTACTTTTATTGCACTTTTCAAGTGGGATCATTGAATAACTATTTAAGTATTAACAAAGTTTTGCATATTCATTAAGAATTTCCTCTCTTTCAATATCCATAATCCATAAAATATAGGCATGCTTAATTCTCTCTGTTGCTGTGTTCCTCTGTTTGGCTCCCTTTTTCTACATATTTTGCTCTCCTCAGATTTATTCCGCTCTCTTCTTCTGTTCCACTTCTCAATTTCTCAGCTATATATAAATGCTTTAATAAGGTGCCTACGTTTTCCACTCTCCTTCTTTCTTTCAATCGCACTGTGCGTGACTCTCTCTCTCACTCCCTTTCCCTCTCTTTCACAGTGTAACGTAAAACCAGCCAATTTTCTAGTGCATTTGTCACAGGCAACAAAGTGGACCAGTACAAAGCAATAAAGCCACAACAGATTGCAACAACACGCAGAGCATAGAAAGAGATGGAGAGAGAGCCACAGAGAGAGCGAGAGAGACTGAATCAGTCAGAGAGACAGAGAGGTAGAGTAATATGTTAAGCTGTGAATAATGTGAAACGTGCAGTGCAGTTCGGGAACGAGCAAAGCTCTTAAAATTGTCAACAATTTAATTAATCAACTTGGTGAGTAGAAAAAAGGTAGAGTGAATTGAACCAACGGAGAGATGAGGCGTGGCAGCCAGATTAGCCACTGGGCTGGCTGACTGTGAATGCGGTTTTTGCAAATCGCTCGTCACGTCTGCCACGCTCAATTGCCAGCGCGAGTGGTTAATTTTTAAGCAGAAACTCTAACCAGACAGACGGACAGACAGACAGGCAGGCAGACAAACTGGCAGACTAGGCAGCTAGAGCAGTGGGCTGTGGGCGGTCGAAGGAGTCAACCAATATAAATATGTACAACGTTTAATTAGCTGCGAATTAATTATGCTCCAGAGTCGACGATGAGAAAATCTGCGGCTTCTGGCGACGCTTGGGTACAAGCTTAGCTATTCAATTAACAGATAGAGCTGTTAGAGAATTATGTGAATAGAAGCTAATCCAGTGTGGTCAGGCTCTTAGCTAATGATTTTAATGTGCGTATTATAATTGATAGTTCAACTAATTGAAGTCGGTGATGAAGGGGTAAGCACAGGCATTACTTGTGGAATACCTTACCAAAATGTGACCTGTCAGAAAAACACAAATTTGATGTTTTACTCATGTTTTTTAATATTCTACATATTTGGTAGACTTAAAACGTTTTACGCTCGCTGTGCCATAGCCAATTTTCAGCAGCATTGCGAAGCTGCCAGCTGCAGTTGACATCTTACGCAGCTTGTGTGTGATATTTCACAGCTTTTAACCCTTCGGGCTCCGTGCACCTGTCACACAATGTTCAGAAGTCAGCGTAAGGTGCAAAAAAATACACTTCTCTGAAATGCTGTGTCACAGGTCAAGCGCATAAACAGGCGTTAGACAGCAAAGGAATATGCTGCAGGCTGCAGCGTTTGTTGTTGTTGTTGCTCTAGGATAATGCGAGTTATAGGAGGTATTAGAGAAGTTTTGACTTGAATTCATAAATTGATATGCAGGCGATGCTATGAAATGTTTGGATCATATGCATATTTATATATATATGTATGTATGTATATTTTAAAGAAGTATACGAAGAGAGAGAGAGAGAGAGATAGAAGTCAACTTTAGCTGGAGAATTAATATTCAATACATATTTATATATATGTATACTTTTAAGAAGTATACGAAGAGAAAGAGAGAGATAGAGGACAACTTTAGCTGGAGAATCAATATTCAATATAGTCTCAAATACAATTGCAGCTTCTGCAAAACACATGCTTTATAAGTACTTATACAATGAGCTTTAGATAAACTGAAATTCTTAAGCAGCAATATTTAATTTTCCTGCAAACTTTTGCTGAGCTTTGGAGCAGCTTTGCTAACGGCAGCTTCCCTCATATCAGCTTTCCTTGACGCAGTCCGATACCTGCGATGGCTGCTGGACCACAAATGTTGCTCTGGGCATTCTCATGCATATGAATATTGCATTTCTTGGGAATCCGTTGCTGTTGTTGTTGCCCGTAGCCTGTTGCCTGTTGCTTGTTGGTTGTTATGTGAAAGCTATAAAATGAAAATTGCTTGTTTTTTTTTATCGCACAATTGTTGACGTTCGGCTTTTGTTAAAATATTTATGAAAAGTGGAGCCGATTTGTGCCAAACAATTGCTGGATTGGGTGCACTCAATGTACAGTTGTGCGGCCAATATTGCCACAGAGTACACACAAACACGCATGCACACATATACAGAGAAACTGTAACAAGCCAGAGCAGAGACCACAATATATAAAGTGAGTATAAAAAAGAGCAAAAGAAACTTTTGCCTGCATATTTATGGCTTTTGCTCTTTATTTGCTAAAAGCAAACAATAAATTGAGTTTATTTATGCCTTGCCACGCCCACTTGACTTTGGATGTATGTTTCTGTTGGCTTCTGTCTGCTTGGCAGGCAAATCTTAAGACTGATAATAAACTAATTCCTGGGCCATTGGCGAGCTGTGTGCTAGGTAAATAGCCTTCAGCTAGTTCAGCCATAGGTAAACAGGTCGGGTTCGTGGGTCCACCATATGCCTGCTATCCGCATGACTGTAGAGCCCCAGGGGTTAGTCAGACACAGTGCAAATCTACCCCCAGTCACATAGACACAACATAATTGTTTATGTATAGCCCACGAATTTGGCACATAAGATGTTTCTATATCTTTTTTTTTCTGCTTCTTTTCGCATTCAGGTGAGCGGGCTTACCCTCAGATTGAGCAGGCGAGCTGGCCTGGCAACCCTTGGGCCCAAATGCATGTCAAACTGTCCCCTGTGGATAACGTAGCGTAAGGGTAACGCAAGACACAAAAACTTTTAGCTAGCCGAAAGAAAAAAAATAAAACCCATTTAATAAAGCAAAAGATCAGCAGCTGTAAATTTCAGCTCGGTCTTGAGCTCTGCTTTTTATGGGATTTTGGGGAGCAATATCTAAGTCAATGTTACTTTTAAGGGTTGCTATTGTTACGCGTAGTCAACGTGCGTGTCTTTGCGAGGGTTTCTGCCCTTGGCAATGTAGCTGCTGATGTATTAAAAACTCACCTTTGTAGCTATTCCAGCGTGGCCAAATCAGCCATTTGCTTAATAAGGAATCCGTTCGCTAACCTAAGGTAAGTCTATCGTAAAGCATGAAGTTCGAAATGAACTTTTCAGACAGCTTTGGGGACAGCATGTATATATATATATATGGCTATAGGTGCACGTGATATATATATTTATATTAACTATATATTCCATTTGAATTTCAAAATGATTTTAATGAGCCGTCAATTAAAAGCAGCCTCTTCATCATCTCAATTTCGATTGGGTAATTCAGTGGCTTAACACATCATGTCACAGATATAATGGCAGGCTTAAAGGGTTTATTTTATAATTTATGCAAATGGAAATTTAATACTTGTATATTATCTATTTAAGCAGTTACCGCGCAATGATTGACAGTTAATTAATGGGGAAAAAAAGCATAGTTAATATGCATATGCAAATGCCAAATGCAATTTGCAAATTTGCTCAAAACTCTCGCAATGCTGTGTAAATGATAATTGAAAAATTGTGGGAATATTTATTTAAAGCTGATGCCTCAAATTGGGGAGCAAAGCGTGATGGTGGTTAAATATGAATGCCATGAATGGGATAAGCGACGGCAAATAAAAAATATCATTTACAAATCCAACAACAACAGCAATAACAACAAAAACGATGCTGTATAAAATGTCATATGGTACATGTGTTGCATTTCAATTTGATGTTATTGAATGGGAGCGGACATTATCGTGCATTTAAATCACACGATTTCATATATAACGAGCAACACTTTACAGCAAACACAAATACTTGCATACATATGTACATATGTATAAACATGTATTGCAGCAGAATCACAAACATGCCTGAGTTGATGTAAGTTACGCATTTTTAATTTATTGAATATATTTATTTACATTTTTTTTTTTTTTTCAATATCGAAAACGAATTGCATTTTCAATTATTGGCAATGCATTAAATTGTGCACATGCCGGAATAATGGCATTAATTAAGTTAGTGCAAACATGTCAAACTGTCGTGCATGTCAAACTGTATTGCACTAGCACACACTTATACCTAACCACAACAACAACAACAACAACTGTTAGTCGTTATCTCAAGTTATGCTAAATGAAAACAGTTTAATGGTCAAATCACTCGAAATGTGTCACAGCAGGAATCTGGCCAAGCCAGGCCAAGTTAGTTGGGGTCGAATCAGTCAACAACTTTCGACACTGTTTGGACTGATGCCAGAGCTGATCCAATCCCACTCGGGCATCCCAATCATCAAAGCTGCATCAGTCACTTGGACAGGCAGCGCGCCACTTGTCAAAATTGGTAAGCAAAATAGCAGCCAGTGCGATGCCAAAGCGACAGCTGTGCCAAAAATGATTTACGACCAGCAAACTCTGACAATCATTTCTCAGCGAAAATCTGTCTGGCAACTCCAGACGAAGAATATCTAATTTAAAAAAATTACATTTGCATAAGGCAAACTGTGAGGCTTTGCTGCTGAGATTTTGGCACATTTAAATAGATAACGCTGAAAATTGATTTAAAATTATTATTATTATAGCTGGGTCTGTTCAAAACTGAATGCCTATAGCCGTTACAGTTCCCCAGAGAGCTGAGTTAAATTATTGTGATCGATGGCTCAGTGTTTGCGCAGTTGTATATAAATATTATTTTTTATAGCATTTATTACTTTTTTTTTTTTTTTTTTTGGTTCCATTTTACACTTTTGCCGGCTTTACAACAAAAAATCATTTTGACAAGCGAAAAAAAAAAATGGGTCTTAAAAAACTTTTATTGGCGCCGAGCATATAAAATACGAAAAAGAGGTAGAAAATCTCTGACTCTTTGAATCGTATTGGTTAACTACGGGTATTTGCTTTGGTGACCCTTCGTCTCGCATCTCGCGTCTCACGCCTCGTCCATTCGTCGGGTTGTCCTTTTTCCTGTGCATTTCGAGCAATCCACAGGCATTCGGCACACACAGTCGCCGTGTGTGTGGACAGCCCAGTGAATTTATTGACTTTTCCGAAATGGCTGCAACTTTTCGCTGGATGTTTCATTATTTGATTGGAAAGTCAAGCTCTTTAGCTGAAATAATTTTCAATTTTAAAGTGTGGAAAATAGTATAAAACTCTATATATTGTGGATGGAAACAAATGTTAACAGAGCAAACTCTGCCCACTTTCTAAGCGATTAAGCTCCAAGTTGAGTCTTCTGGTAAATCCTTTGCAAATCAACATAGTTTCGCCTCCCACTTATAAAGTAAATTTGCTTAAAAGTCCACTAATGCCTTAATTTCGTGGTATTTATGGGTTCTTTGACTAGTCCCAAGTTATCTATGCGGTCTTATCCTGCACTGCAGTGTGTGTCTACAGTGAGTGCAACATGTTTGCGATAAGCATTTTCATGCTCTTAAGATGCATAAACAAATATTACGCATACGCCATGTGTGCCAGTCAATGCATTGAAATTGCCAGGCGCATTCGAGCGAAAACAGAAGCAATGAAACCAAACGAACTAACCAAACCAAACCAAGCCCGAACCGAACAGAACAGAACAGAACAGAGCCGAACCGAACTTGAGTGAACTTAACTTGGGTGCAGTTGGTTGAAGCTGCAGCTCGTGGGTTTGGGTCGAACCACAACTTGAGCACAGCTGCAAACCACTTTACCAAATTCTTGTATCTGGGATGCAAACTATCTCAACTCGAGCTAAAGGAGTGCAATATATATGCCATGTATTATGTGTGCGCTTATAATTACAGTCGGCTTTTGAATTTTTGAATACCCAGGCAAACAAAGAGCATATAATACAAATATAACAAATATGTGTATATCTGGCAGATCATGTTAGATTGATCGTAATTGTAATGATTGATCGTAATGTATATAGTAATTTTCCAAACACCCATTATCATGATGTCTATATGCGTTAAATTATAGGGTATTATATATGGTTAAATTACAGGGTATTATTATGTTATAGTATATAGTGAAGAAATATATTAATAATATTTTCCAATCCCATATTTATTTGCGCAAAAGCTATTTATGTCTATCTACGTTAAATTACAGGGCATTATATGCAGCATTCATTGCGGAATAGCTCACACATATCTTGGCATTTTCTCACTTTTCGTGTAACTTGCCTATGCTCATCATCATTAACCGCAAATGCATCATCACTATCAGCAGTTGCTGTTGTTGCTGTTGTTGTTGTTGTTGCTGTCGCCCTTTGTTAAATGCGAACGCATCGCATCGGCTGCATTTGGGGCCATGCCCAGCCGTTGTGTGAGCTGTGTAAGCTCTATGGAAATATCCAAATATTTTTGCATTTCAATTACCAGCATCAGCATCAGGCACGTAATTTGCACCCACAATGCAACGAGCGTTGGCAGAAGCAGCGGGCTTCGAATCCTTCGGCTGCGCCAAATTGATTGCACTTGCTTTTCATGCTCCTGTTGTTGTTGTTGTTGCTGTTGTTGCTGTTGTGGAATGTATGTGTGAACTGTTGGCTGTCGGCTGGTGCTTCCCAACAACTACTTGGTCCATCGACTGATGCTGTTGATGACCCCATTTGCTTGAGTAATGATGCCACTTGCTTTGGTCATGTCCTGCGCCCGTATCCTGCGTCCACTGTCCACTGTCCACTGTCCACTGTCTACTGTCCACTGTCTGGACTTAAGTCGCTTTTCAGGGCGTTTAATGCTCGCAACACAAATCGATTTACTCCAACGCAATAGCTACCCTCCCCCAGCCCCCCATCCCCTCCCCACTTTGTGCGGCATCTTTGGCCGATTTTTGGGGCTTGTAATGAAATGCGAAATTTAGTTGCACTGCAATCCCAATCCTTCGCCCAGCACCACTCTCAGTCGCAATCCCAATAGCAATTTCGATTGCAATTGCATTTGTTGTCGTCGGCATTAAGCAGACAATTCTCTTGATTCTATGCCGTTTCCCATCTTTTCGCTCTTTTGCTGCGCTCCTTTGTGCCTCGCTTTTGGCTAACCAATTGATTTTGTTGGGCTCCCAATCCGTCGCTTGTTAGTCCAAATTGATTGAAATTTGGTTTAGTCTCCCTTTGTAGCCACATTTGATTTGTCTCCTAATTGAATGTTGTATGCGGGCTAAGCTCATTAGAGGCGACAGTCGCAATATTGAGCAAACATTCGATGGACTTGGCACTCTGAGATGTCTTTCTTATTGAGCTAAGGAAGCAGGAGATGCTATTATATATAGCAGAGTATATACAATATATAGTAGATCTTCAATTGGTTCACTGTTCAGTTCATGTAAAATGCAGATTATTACAGTCTATATGAGTGAGAACTCTCAAAGGGAATACATAAACTCTCAATGCTCTCTCTCTCTCGCTCTCTCTCTCTCTCTCTCTCTCTTCTCTCCTCTCTTCTTCTTTTCACTTCTCATGCAAATTTGCCAAGCAGTAAAGTGCTTCGTTTTATTGTTTGACTAAGGTGAGCCCAGCTCTGCGAACACATAACTCTGCCTAGAAGCAGCTACCACTCGATGGCATACTTCCGAGCAACATTACTTAAGTTATGCAATATAATAGCGAAAGAGAAACTACGCATGTCGCTGGCATGTAAGAAATACGGCTTACCTCGGGGCGCACACCTGTCAGCAGCAGGGCAACATGCGGAGCATGCGAACTACAATATAGGTGAGGCGGGAATTGTGCGCTATTATTGCACCTGAAAGTCAAAAACTGCTTCAGGTGCGAGAATGGCTGCATGTGCATTCCATTCATAATGAAAAACTCGCATGTCAGCGCGTTAAAAAATGTTCAAATAATTTTTCAGAGAAAGCTCATAACAACATTCA